TATCAGGTTTTCAACACTTGCTAACATATAGGCTGTCTCTGGAGCTCTTAGGCTTCCTTTCTTCATAGGCTTGCCATTTCCTTACAGCACAGTTCCATTTAATGAGAAAGATGGTCACGATGCCTGGTACATTCCAACCACCCAAGCACCATAGGTAATATGACTTAAGATGACAGCTGAGGTTTGACTGTAATGCACTTGTAACATCTCGCCTGGACTTGGGGACAACTTACAAGTTCTTTACAGATGGTTTCTGACTCAGTGTCGGGCAAACAGGTTTTTACAGCAACTAGTTATAGTGGGAGCTCAGAAAAGTAGATACACCTAGAGTGAACCTTATTTTAATGAACCCTATGCCTGTCTGTGTAAAGGTACTTAACAGTAATGAATCTAATGAAAATTCCATCTTTACAACTTGTCACTACACTTTGCTGAACCAGAAATTATGGAATCGACATGACAGTATCGAAAATGTAAATGATACAATTCTAACTCCTGACACACTGACTTTGCCTTTGACGGATTCACACTGTATTTAAACCTACACCAACACCCTCTTCCCTCCTCACCACTCTGGTGAGGCCAACTGTTCAGCAACCCAAAGAGACAGTGAGGTGCAGAGGAAAGCGTTCTGGGCAGGAAATGAAGAGATCACGCTTTTAGTCCTTGCTGCCGCATTAAGAAGCTGTATCACTTTCTGGCTGTCTGCTGCACTGGTTTATAAGGAAGCAGGGGAACGATCAAGATGGCTCTGTCGAGCCTCTAACACGAAATGACTGCTGGCAGATCCTGGAAGCTTAAACATTTCCAATTCCGTGTGTGTGTGTGGGGGGGGGGTTAAAAGTAACGCAACAGGTGCTGCTGCCAGGAGTCACCGATTCAGACTGGTGCTCACAAGCCCTTCTGCGACGCAAACTAGGAAAGCTGACAGTTTTGTTCATCTGTGCTCCGCGTGAGTGTGTACTTCTCCTTTCCACATGGACCCCAAACAGCTCCGTGAGCCACCGAGCTTGTTTCAAAAGCTAAGTACAGTGAACTAGGAATGGGGTCCGCGTCGCTGATGACATCGATCTGTCACCTCTCCTCCCGTATCGCTTGAAACCCGACACGCCAAATAGCCTACCTGGATGCTACTGTCCCTTGCCTCGCCCGGTGGCCAGAGACAAGCGTTACTCCACGCGGCAGATGGCCCTCGGCGTCCGATCTTCCTCGCAATTCCTCGCGTCCCGTCGGGGACAAGCCCTTTCCGGTTTCCTGGGCGTCCGGAGGAAGTCCCGCCCCACACAACAGCGTGACGTAACCGACGCCTCTGGGCGCGACGCGCAGGCTCACAACACAGCTGGTCCCGCAGGCTGGCGGTGTCCCTGGTCTTCGCGCAGATAGTCAGAAGGGAGCTCATTGCTGGCCGCAGGCAACGGGGTTCAGCCGGGCGGGAGAGCGGCTCGCAGACTCGCATCCGCGAGCGGAAGTGGGTGTCGTCGGGGCTGAAGGCTCCTCCCCCGGCCGCCCTTGCGTTCGCTTTCCAGTGGCCACCGCCTGCTGAGCTTTGGCTGGTCTCCTTTCGGCTGGCAGTCGGTCACAGGCGCCAGGTAACTCTTGACTGCTGCAGGAAACGCAGCTGTTCGTGTACCGTGGAAGGAACTGAGAGCCCACGGAATCCAGGACCCTGCTGGCCATGGTACTCTTGGGACTAGAAAGTAAAACGTCCATCGTATTAGTTTCTTGAGTCTGCCATAACAAGAGTAGCACACACTGGGTGGCTTAAGACAGCAGGTGCTTATTCTCTGGCATCCTGGAGCCTAGGAGTCTGAAATCAAAGCATGGGTGGGACCTCGGTTCCTCTGAGACTACGGGTAGACCTCTGTCTTGCTTCTTCCTATCTTCCGCTGGTAGACAGCAGTCGTCGCTCTTTGGCCTGTCTCTGCATCACGGCATTCTTCCTTGGTTGTCAGATGGCATTTTTCCCTGCTCCTTCCTATGTCTCGTCTGATAAGGACACCTGACCAATAGGATAAGGACCCATCGTGCTCCACAATAACCTGATCACAACTAATTATATGACCCTATTTTGCAGAGACCCTATTTCCAAATCCAAAGTCACATTGTGAAATTCCAGAAGAAATTTTGGAAGTACAGTAACACTAACCAACTCAGCACAGCTGTCAAAGTTCTTAAGAAGTTGACAAAGGAAGAGCTGAAAATGAAGAGTTTGAAATGAGACAGTTTTGCAGACATTTGGGCAATTCCCTTGAAAGATAGGTAGGATTTGATTCTGCCATCAGAGACTAAGGGAATACAAGTTGAACCATAGAGTAAACAGGTTAAAACAGGAAGGCTCTTGAATGCAGGCTAGAGTTCAGAGGTATTCTTTTTGTTTGTTTGTTTGTTTTAGAGAGTTTTTTGCTACATGGGAGGGTGCACCTGCTGGAGTGAGATAGACAGAAAGGGAAAAATCACCCCTGGTCAGGGGAATGGCCAACTCAATCCCTTCTCATTCTCTTTGAGATCTTGAGCACACACACACATCCACCCAGCATGAATTTTAAGCTGCTGGGTCTGGGACTCAAATGGCAATTGACCGTGTGGGAGGCCAGCAACATAACCATTACACCATCCGCTGATCCCTCAGAGGAGCCTGTTCTCTATGTAAAAGTAATGTTGGAATACCCCAGTGTGCAGTCCTCTTTTTCTTTTTTAAAGTTGCTGTAGGGATGAGACCAGCAGATGGCATGCTGGTTAAGGGCCCTGTATTCCCACATAGCTGACCACGGTTCAAGTCCTGAACTTGGCAGCTTGCTTTCTCACTTTCCCTTTCTCTCTCTCACTCTGTCCCTCTCTGGTCAAATTTAAATAAATAAATAAATAAATAAATAAATAAATAAATAAGTAAATTAAAATTGCTATAGGGTAGAGAGAAAAAGAGAAAAGGGAACTGAGAGGAAAGTGAGTCCCTCATGGGGCATGGTCACACCACAATCCCTTCTCCCCTTCCTCCTCTCAGGATTTTGGGCATGTATGCACACACACCTGGCATGTTTTTCAAGCCGTCAGGTCAGGGATTCGAATTGCACAATCAGCCATGTGGGATCCAGCCACCTCCAACCACCACACCAGCAGCTGGCCCTCTTTTTTCTGTCTACTGATAAAGATCTCATCCAAGGCAATGACTTTTATCTATCAGATTTATTCTGACGCAACTCAGATAAACTCTGGCCTGACATGTCCCCCAGACTCATGACTCATATATATTTTTTTTTTTTTTTGGGGGGGTTTTTTTTTTTAGCTACAGGGCGCGTGCGCTCGCCAGACAGACAGAGAGAGACATAGAGACAGAAAGCGAGAAATCACCCCCCAAGAGGGGATGGTCACGCCGCAATCCCTTCTCCTCCATTCTCCTCTCGGGATCTTGGGCACGCACGCACACGCACCCGGCGTGAGTTTTAAGCTACCGGGTCCTGGACGCAAACCGCAGTCGACTACGTGGGAGTCCAGCGACATGGCCATTACGCTAACTGCTGGTTCCCATGACTCATATTTTCAAACCAGACTCATGACTTCCTATTTCCAGTTTGCTGTTTAGCAGGTGTCTCAAATTCAGCTGTCTAAAATTAAACTCTCAGCTTCTGCCATTTTCAGACCTGCCCCTAATGTTATTCATCTTAATAAGATGCTACCATACACTTAGTCATTCAGGCCAAAAAATTCAGAGTCAGCCTTGCTTCTTTCTCAAACACACCCTGCAAACAATCTGTAACTAAATTGTTTGAGTTCTACCCTCAAAATGTGTACTAAGTTTGATCGATTTTTCTTTTTTTTAAGAGTTTGGGTGGTTTTTTTTGTTTGTTTTTGTTTTGTTTTGTTTTTTGCTATAGGGCACATGTGCTCACCAGAGAGACAGGCAACAAGAGATCTCCCCCCAGGGGGATGGCCACACTGCAATCCCTCCTTCTCCATTCTCCTCTTGGGACTTTGGGTATGCACACACGTTCACCCAACGTGAGTTTTAAGCCACTGGGTCCAGGATTCGAACTGCAGTCAACTATGTGGGAGTCCAACAACGTAACCATTATGCCACTTGCTGGTTCCTGAATTCAGTCAATTCTTTCTTCTCACATAATTACTAGCCTATTTCAGGCCACCACCGTCTCTCTTCCTTGGCCGTTGGCTGAACTTACTCTGAGTCTGATCCTATTATTGCTTCTCTGTATCACACAGAAACAAGAGTCATTCTGGAAATCGCCAGTCAGTCCTATCATTTTCCTGTTCCAAACTGCCCATTAACTTTCGGCGCACAGTAAAATCCTGGCTCAGCAGTGGCAGCATGTGCTGTTAAGAGACTATGCTGTCTTGGGTAAGAACACATGGGAGGCTGGGTTTGATTCCAGGTCCAGCTTGAAGGCTAGGGCACAGTAGCTTGTAGGTGTGTGGTCCCAGTGGCTCGGGGAGGCTCAGGCAGGAGGAGTGCGAGGTCAGTGCTCACCTGGACAACAGAGCAACACTCTGTCTATAAAAGAGGCAGAAGGCTAAGGCAGGAGGATCTCGACATGGCCTGGTAGTACAACTGGACGCACATGCGCACTGGAGGCCCGCAGTCTCTGAGCACATCAGGCACCGTGCACGTGCCCATGATCTGTGCCGGCTGAGAACAGGGATGAACTGTGGCTCGAAGACCTTGTTGGGGGTGCCTGTCTCTTGCGCTCATGGAAGAAATAAACTTCAGAAAAAAAAAAATCCTGGGACCAGTAGATGGCGTAATGGTTATGTCACTGGACTCCCACATAGTCATAGGGCGGGCACCCCCACACCCTGGATTCCCACATAGTCAACCATGGTTCATGTCCAGATCTGGAGGCTTAAAATTTAGGTTGGACACATGTGCATGTGTGCCCAAAACCCCGAGAGGAGAATGGAGGAAAAGGGATTGCTTTGTGGCCATCCCCCTTGCAGGATGATTTCTGGCTTTCTGCCTCCGGTGAGCACATGTGTCCAACGGCAAAAATCTCTCAAAAAGGGGAAAAAATCCCAAGTCCCTGCCATGGTCTGAAAGGCCCTATGACCTTTCTTTAAAATTCAAATCTAATTGGGTATTCTGTATTTTTATTTGCTAAATCTGGCAATCCTATTCCGAAGTGTTTATTGTTTTCGTTTATGGAAGAAGCCACTTTTTCTTGGCTCCGACCTCAATTTCAGCTTTCCCTGTGCGCACAGCCAGTGCCCCAGATGTCATAACCCAGTCCCTAAGGCATACATTTGGCTCTGGTACCTTGTGTGTCACAGGACTTTTATTATTATTATTATTTTTTTTGTCAGTCGTAGGCTCCCTCTTCATTTGGAGGGCCTGGTGACTGCTACCTGTCTTCCATCTGTCCTCTATCTGTCTGAGTGTTTTCCCCCTCACTGCTGCTGGTTTCAGGGTAATTATGTATTCGGTGTTTCACAAACGCCGTGTATGAGGCATTTCAATGTGTTCGGAAAGGGAGATTTCATTTCCACATGAGCTTGTCTTGTTCCATATCTGCCAATTAACTGATAATACGCTTCGCCGCCGCCACTCATTCCACCTCTGCCGCTCAGATGTCGGGAGTCTGTCCTTCAAAATTCATTGAACAGGTGGTGTGTGTCTTCCTCCATTTGCCTTCTGCAGAACTTTGTTCGAGATCCTTTGACTAACTAATGGCACCGAAGACTAAATACAAAACCCCTCACATTGCATTTGCGATTTTAGTTTACTTTTGGTAAAAAAAAAAAAAAAAAAAAAATAGTGTGGTATAAAGCTGGGCTTTGATGCTCAGGGATCACAGACAGATCTGCAGAAAGTCATGGATGTGACTTTCTCTTAATAAAGACTATTTCTTTAAGTATTTTAAGTGTGCCGGGAGCGCTTTGGCAAGTTACCGAAGTCCAGGCTCATTGTCTCCTTGGTTTTCCTTTTCTTTTCTGCTGGTGATCACACCTCCCTTCTCACATCCTACTCTAAACCGCCCACTAGTTCCGAGTGAGAAAGACACCTTTTTTTATTTTGTTCTTCTTCTTTTTTTATTTTCCTATAGGGTGTGTGGGCTGGCCAGAGAGAGACAGAGAGAGGAAAAGTGAGAAATCACCCCCCAGGGGGAATGATCAAGCTGCATTCTCTTCTCCCCAAGTCTCCTCTCAGGATTTTGAAAAAACATGCCCATATACCCACGTGATTTTATTTTTAGAGAGAGATTTTTGCTATAGGGCATACGTGCTTGACAGAGAGACAGAGAGATACAGAGAGACAGAAAGTGAGAAATCACTCCCTCCTCCCCTCCAGGGCAGACAGCCATGCTGTAATCCCTTCTCTTCCATTCTTGGGATTTTAGGCATGCACACATATGCTCCTGGTGTGAGTTTGAAGCCACCAGGGCCAGGACTCGAACCACAGTCGACTACATGGGAGGCCAGCAACCATACAGACCAGCTATGTGGGATCCAGCACCTTAACCTCCATGCCACCTGCTGACCCAAAGACACACTTTTTTTTTTTTTTTATTTGAAACCAAAAAGCTAGAGGGTGAGCACAAGAAGTCTCACAGGAAGCAAAAATCGCTATGCACGTTAGTCTCAGTTGAGTCTCCCCAGCTACGGCCAATTGGAAGAGAAAATTTACAATGGATGCTAAAGGACCAATCAGATCCAGGCCAGCCTGTCCTAGCTGTCTTCATGGTTTTTCTGTTTCCTGCTATGGAGGCCAGGATTGGGACCAGCAAAATTCTCACCTTCCCCCCTCAGCTTTTTATTCTGCAAATCCCTGCCTTCTTCACTAATCAAAAGGTAAGTGTTGGGACTAGATCTCTTTTACACATTTGAAATGGTTAATCTCTCCTTTAAAAAAAACTTTATTGAGACATAATTCACATACCACACAGTTCACTCATTTAAAGTGTACATCTTCATGATTTTCATTTTTCAAACAGGTCTCACAGTGTTGAGGTCCTCCTGCCCTTCTGCCTCAGCATCCCCAAGTCTCTGGGATTACAGATGTGTGTCACCAAGCCAGGCCCTTAGGTTGGACTGAGAACCACCAGCCTTCCATGTGGTCTGACCCTGTGGAGACAGCAGCAAGCCCACTGAGGCTGGGCCTGCAAGTCATTGGCTTTTAGTATATGCATGGATGTGTGCAAACACCACCACAATTTTAGAGGATTTTTATTGTAACAAAGAGATGCCTGGTCTCACTTAGTTACCATTTCGTCCCCCCGCAGCCCTAAGTAACCACTGATCTACTTTCTGTCACTATAGATTTGCACAATCTATATGTTTCCTATAAATAGAATAATACAATATATGTTCCTATGTTACTGCCGCCTTTCAGTTAGCATGAGTTTTTCTTCTTTTTTTGGAGAGCTTTTTGCTATAGGGCGCGTGTGCTCGCCAGACACACAGAGAGAGACAGAGAGACAGAAAGCGAGAAATCACCCCCCAGAGGGGATGGCTACACCACAATCCCTTCTCCTCCATTCTCCTCTCGGGATCTTGGGCACGCACGCACACGCGCCTGGCATGAGTTTAAGCCACCGGGTCTGGGACTCGAACCGTGGTCGACTACGTGGAAGTCCAGCGACATAGCCATTACGCTAACTGCTGGTCCCAGTTAACATGAGTTTTTTTTTTTTTTTTTAATGAGTTTTTCACAGTTCATCCATATAGTATGTATCAGTACTTCATTCTTTTTTTTTTTTTTTTTTTTTATGGGTTTTTGTTCAGGGCCGCTGGCGCTTCCCGAGAGAGACAGAGAGACAGAAAGCGAGAAATCACCCCCCAGAGGGGATGGCTACACCACAATCCCTTCTCCTCCATTCTCCTCTCGGGATCTTGGGCACGCACATACACATGCCCGGCTGAGTTTTAAGCCACTGGGTCTGGGGCTCAAACCGCAGTCGACTACGTGGGAGTCCAGCGACATAGCCATTACGCTAACTGCTGGTCCCTCAGTACTTCATTCTTTATGGCCAAATAATATTCCATTCCATGGAATTACCAGTTTTGTTTATCACTTTATCAGTTGATGGACATTGGAATTATTTTCCACCTTTTAGCCATTGTGAAGGTGCTTCTGTGAATATTTGTGTACATGTTTTTTGTTTGAGCACCTGTTTTTCAGTTCTTTGGGGAATATACCTATGAGTGGAATTGGAGATCCACCAAACTTTTCTACAGAAGCAGCAGCAGTGGCAGCATCGCCATTTTGTTTGCCCTCTTAGCAATGTAAAAAGATTACAGTTTCCCCATGTTCAGGTCCTGGCTGTTCAGTAAACCCTTTCAGTCTTAAGACCCTTAACCTTCAACTGAGAAATTCTCTTTA